CTTCCCTCAGGCTGCCTGTGCATATTACCCTGACTGCACAGAGCTAAGGAGAGAGGCTAATAAGAAATGTTAGCCCTCTGCGTGGAACACGGCTTTCCTCCTGGGTGAACTCGGGAAACATCCCGGCAGTGTATAACTTGCTCTTTTCTGTGTATGTCTGTTCTCAGCATTTCCGCGTCAATCAGTTGATGTTTGGGCTTTTCCTTTGCTTGAAGTCCTCTTTGGATTATGAATGAAGGGGATATGTTGATTTTTTTGTTGTTGTTGTTATTATCTTTTGCATCTTTGTCTCTGGGCATTTCTATTGTGTTTTGTATTTTTCAAAAATGAAATCCAAATGTTTTCATCAATTTCTGACCAAGTGATTTTCTTTATTCTAAAGTTTTAGCAAGTTCCTGCAAATTTGACTCACCTGTGGTGCTTGTATTACTGGCCCATGGGGCAGCTTGAACACTTGGAGGTTACATGTATGACTATCATATCTGGCAGCACAGGACCATCTTGCCAGGTAGTAGAAGCTGCTGGATGTGGCATTTATGTGTGTACAGCCTCAGGCTGAACGTGTTAATATAGAGTATTAAAGACAAACTCAGTTGATACCATTTCATCATAAATTCAGGAAGTCTAGCAGATGTTAGGGCTGTTGAACCTAGAGGGAATACCAACAACTCTCCATACACTGGAACACAAAGTTAACAAGTTTAACAATGAGAAAAAGAAAAAAAATACTATATGTCATGAGATAAAATAAATTCTGAAGTATTGCTATGGTTTGTCTTGGTTACTTTTACTTTTCTCATTGCTGGGACAAAATACCTGACACCCAAAATGCAGGAAGGAAAGGTTTATTTATTTTACAGTTTTTGGAGGTGTTGGTTTATAATCAGCTGGTTCCAAGGCAGGGTGGCATGGCACTGGAGCACCAATTCAAGGCAGCAGTCAGAACAAAATGGCGAATACAAGCCTCTTTTCCTCCCTTACATTATACACAGGCTACCCTCCCTCCAGGGTAGATGTAATACTCACAAAACCTCTGTGCCCTCCTCCTTCCCAGGATTAGGATATTTGCACAGTAAGAAACTTGGCTCCCTGCAGAGTCTCTCAGTTATACTCCCAAATTTCTCAAGTTGACACAATGTGTCAGCCATAACATATCTTTTATCTAGATGTCCCCTCAAAGCCTCATGCAGTCATAGGTGGGGAGTTTTAAGATGGCAGGATTAGAGTGTGATACTGGAATTAATTGTGCTTGCTGAGATTAAGGATGAAATCCTGGAATTCGTTATGTCATGCTGGGATTAAGGCTGTGTCACCCAGGTTGTTGCTGCACTGATCTGTAAGGCTGTAGACTGGATGGACTGGGACTATAAAGCAGCAGATGGGGCAGGCTGCTTTTTGCTGCTCCCTGCCTCCTTCCTATCCTGCTACACCATAGACTGTTTCTCTTGTGCACAGCCCCTCTGCCAGGCAACCCTGCCTTTGAGTCAGGTGTCCATGCATTGAGACCTCTACCAACTGAAAACTGAAATAAACCTTTTCTCCTTTAACTTGTAGATGCTGGGTATTTTGTCTCAGCAATGACAAAAGTAACAAAGATGATCTATGATACAATGATGGGCATAAAATAGGATGACAAAATCAAGTGTGAAAAAAGATGGCAGCAGGCCACCTAACTGTACCATAAAGGCACTGACATTGAGTTGGCTTTGAACAGTTACTGTTTCAGCGGGCTATAATAACAGTGATGAACACATGGCCACTTGCCTATGGAAAAGATGGCATTTAAGAACATTAGAGGGTTTTTTTTCTTGAATAACATCACAATCAGTGTGAAATGTTCCCTAATGAGTAATCATATGTTCTGATAATATGTAGTTTCGTAAAGAAAGAAGTAATCATAATTTGTAACTTTCAAACTTTGTTTTCAAATGTGTAAATTAATAAAATAATTCTGAAACATTGAGAGTGAGATACATGTATAATACTCCTACTCATAAACCTCATTCTAATGAGGAATTGTGTGTTCTGCAACAATATGATGTGCACTACACACAAAACTTGCAATTCAAAGTAGTCATACTAGATTGAGGTATAAAAAAAGCTGGAATATTTATAGGATGAAATATTAAACAGAGGCAAAACTAATGTCACTATGAAATATATGCTACAATTTCAATGACATGGAAGTACACTGGTATATTACAAAGTGTGATTCATGAAGCAAATACCGCAATATTTCATTACATTAGTTTGTCAATAGGAAATAAGTGGTCTACATATTTAGGTAGCATCTATAGAAAAATAACTGTCATAAGATGAAAGTCTTATTTTGGCTTTCAAGAGTGGAAACAAAGTGATACTTATATTGGGGATGTACTATCTGTTGATATATGTTGGAGTTAAATGTTCACTTAATAAATACTTTAAAATATATTTTAAATTTAACTGATGACATCAGAGATATTTTTCAGAGATTTATTTAATATATATATATATAATTTCTCTACATAATATTCAAATATAATCATATTATATAAAAAGATTATATATATATATATATATATATATATATATATATACAGTTAATTGATTGGGGAGAGAAATAATGAGTTAATATATTTTCATAAAATTTTGTACTTTTAAAAAATAGATAGTCTATCATTAATTGCCTGTAGAACTTTAGGGAAAATGGGGAAGTTCGTTTTGTATTAACTAATAAAACTGCCTTCACTATATACTCATCAAACCAAAACAGACACTTGAAGAGAGGGTTGATTCTGCAGATGTAAATGATGTGATTTAGTGATTTGTTGTGTCAGTAGTTAGCATGTGTGTTATGGCAAATGAATGGAATTCTATAATAGCTATTATTGAAATATAATAAAAATTGGAGATACATGTAGATAGTTCTAAAATTTTCATTCAAACCAAGTTTTTGTAATATAAACCCAGGGTCCTTGTTCTACTTGAAATCTTGTATTAAGGTTAAAGAAAAGATATCCTGAAATATGGGGTGTGAAGTATGGATCCAGTAAAGGCACCTGTCCGTGTTCACTGAAATTTCATTAAGCACAATTTAAAGTAAAGTCATAACACAAGGACTGAATTCCTACTTTCTTCCAGCTTTCTTCACTGTTGATTTCATAGTATACAGTAGGGAAATATTGAAAACTTGGTTTGTGAGCATAATTCATTCAAGAAATATGACTGTAATTGAAAGCAAGTCCACTATTAAAGTGAACTTCCTCATAAAAAACAATGAAACTTTGAATGATTTGTTATACAACACAAAAAGATTCATATAAAAGGATCACAATACAGTCATATTGTAAGGGCACAAATTACATGATTAGTAAAGGTACAGGTATAAAATAGGAAACATATATGGATTATAGCAAGTTAAAATCAAATAGCAGCCTTTGTATACGCTCTTGCTTCCTGTCATGTCAACACCCTGCTGAATTCAGTCAGCCTTGACTGTCTGGGTCTAGCTGCGTATTTGTTTTTGTTTTTTTGTTTGTTTGTTTTGATAATGCACTGGGCCAATTTGACTGTACTCAGCTTCCATTTCCCTTAATTAAGAAAATATATTGTTTCTAACTGGATTCAAGGACTTTGGCTGGGGTGAAGTAAGTCAGTCAAAGATACTTTTTAACACTACTTGTTCTCTTTGAACCTCCTCTTCTTATCCTCAGTATGTTTGTATGTTATGATAATTCCTTTTAAGCAAATCTATTTATAATTATTTTTCCTGACAATATATGACAATTCAGTCCATGTAACCAATCATGTAATGCTGTGTACTTCCTGATGCAAAGTGTATTTAAACTTCACTCAAAGTTGGCTCTAGCCTAGCAATTTGGACTTGGTCTCGGTAGTCTGTTAGTATAATAAACAGTTGTCTTCTAGCTCCTTGGTGCACAGAATCCTCCATTCATTAGATATTGGCTTTTCTGTAAAAATATAATACAATGTAAAGAAGAAAAATAAACAATTAATCTGCAATTACCTTTCATTGATAGGAGGAAGACGAAAGACAAGAGGTTTATTGTGTATGATAAACTTTGCTTTCACTAAGGGAGTCACTCTAACCTATTAGCTTAATAGAAACTTTTATTTTCTGTGTAAATTAAGCTAGGACTAGACCCAATGACTTGTATTTACCTGCTTTTGAAGATTTCACTTTTGAGCTTTTAACTACTTTTGAAGAAGTGACATTGTATTATTATAAACAGATTCATCACTCACTCTACTACAGCTTTATTTGGGTGACTTTTGCTATCAAATGTCGCACTGTTTCCAACATTTTATGAATCTCCCTAATCTCATTTGAAGTGAAGGATCACTTCACCTTTTGATCCTCCTGTTCTGCAGATGAGATCTCTCTCATAACCTGTTGCTGTTAAAAAACAATCACCCACAATCTCAAAGAGGGTGAAGGAAGACTCAGAGGTGGAGGTGGAAGTTGGGGTGAGGGGGAGACAGGATCAGAGAATGAGATTGAGAAAATGACATAAGAGGAGAGATCGAGTTGTTCAGGTGTGATCATGTGACCTTCAAAATCATGTACCACTCATATTGCAAGACATCACCTGTATAATAGATTAAATTTATTAGAAATAAATGTTTGGTCATTTTTTTTGGTCTTTTCCCTTTTTATCGGTACCAGGATGGAACTCACGACTGCCTGCTTGCAAGGCAGGCACTTGTGCCGCTGAGCTAAGTCTCCAACCCCAGTCATCTTGCATAATATTTGCTGAACAAATTATTCACAATATAATGTTTTGTAGTTCATTCTAAAATTCATGAAATGGATAAAAATGCAATATATTTGTATCAAATGATAGCAAATTATAAGTAATTCTAAACCCTGAAAACTATGGAATTTTGATACCTTAATTGATTACAATACAATACTGAATTCATTTAAAATATCAACAATCATGTATGTGAAAATATGAGATATGATTAAGACATTAGTAAACATGCATTTGTTTGAATTATATAGCTTGGGAATGCAATTTGGATGTGATCAGCTTTCTGACTGTATCTTTCACATCCTTGTTCCTGAGGCTATAGATGAGGGGATTCAGCATGGGGACCAGAACTGTATAAAGCACAGTTGCCACTTTGACCAGAAGCCAGGAGCTTTTAGAGCTGGGCACACAGTAGAGAAGGAGAATGATGCCGTGGAAGATGCTGATGGCAGTGAGGTGGGAGGTGCAAGTAGAGAGGGCTTTCTGGAGTCCACCTTTGGAGGGTATCCTGACGATAGTCACAACTATGAACACATAGGAGGCAAGAATGATCAGGAGGCTGCTAGCTTCACAGACTATAGAAATTATAAAACATACCATCTGGGTGAAGGAAAGGTCTGAACAGGATACAGAGAGGACAGCTGAGTACTCACAGCCAAAGTGATTTATGACATTAGGCTCACAGTAGGACAGTTGCACAAGGGAGTATGTGATTGTCAAGGAACAGAGTCCACCCCACATGTATGTCCCTGCCACAAGGAGAGCACAGAGCTTAGGTGACATAGAGACTGTGTAGATCAGGGGGTTGCAGACAGCCACGAAGCGGTCATAGGCCATCACTGCCAGCATAAACATCTCTGTAATCACACATGCACAGCCAAAGAAATATTGTGTCATGCATCCTCTGAAGGAGATGATTCTGTCTTCCACAACCAAGATTTCTAACAGTTTGGGTGTAAACACACTGGAGTAACAAATATCCAAAAAGGAAAGATGGCTGAGAAAAAAATACATGGGTGTATGAAGTTTGGGGTTGATCTTTCTGACCAAAATTATGCCCAAGTTCCCCAACAGAGTCACTGTGTAGATTGTCAGGAACATCAGGAAGAGGGGTGCCTGGAGGTGTGGGTATTCAGAGAATCCCACCAGGACAAATGCAGTCACAGAGCTCTGATTTCGCATATTAAGCAGCTTGAAGTGGAAGAAAATTGAGCAATGAACCTTGAGAAAATGAGTCAGCGGAATCTGAGCAGAGTCTCCATGTAAACCAGTAAAGATGAGCAAGGTCTGTGGATATTCCTGAGGGTTTCACTTCACTTTGGGGCATCACTGGGTTATTTTCTGAGTTTTTGCGCTGAGCAGTTTGATTTACCCTTCTGTAATTCAGTGATCTTGTCTATAAAATATAATATTATATGCATTACTATTTTATACTAATCAATAATAAATGTTAGTACTACTGAGAAAATCAGGGCAAAGCTTGTTTTGAAGAAATCAAAGGAGAAAGAGGAAGTTGAAATACATAGTAAACATAGTAGCCATATGACTATTGATGTGGAGTTACTAAAAAGATCAAATATTTTAATGTAAGTAAAATATGGCAAATAATTTTGAGGACAAATATACCTTGTCAGATATACTCAGGTGTGTGGTGATATTCTGAATTTCTCCCTTTTCTAACATAGAGTATAAATCGCTTTTATCTACTTAAGAGGGACTTTATGTGGTTTGATTGGTACTTCTAATAATATTGGTATTACTTCAAATTTAAATCTACTGTATAGTTAATGATACACTTTAAATAATAAAATGTAATGATCTGATAAAGTATTCTGGAGGTATCTTTAAAAGTTCCATATTTGTCACCTTCTGTGGGTCATACAATTGGTTTTCTTGTTCATGTCACATTAAACAGAAATAATTTATAAAAGTTATAATCTATATAAACAGAGTGATATAATAAGTAATATTTCTTCCTAAAGAACCATAGATCTGTTCCTGTTACTAGCTTAAGTATGGAGAAGGATGAAAGACATAATATAAAAGATTGAAAATATGAATTTTCTGCTTTTGATTACCAGCAGGACTATGATTATTAGGTATTTCATATGATGAATTTTGAATACAGCACAGATTTTGCAAGTGGCTGTGAAGACCCAGTAAATATGTTGTGTCCATCTTCAGCACATATGAAGTCTTTTCTGCAGCAACTCACTCTCCAGAATGAAATCTACAGCTACCATTCCCAGATACAGTGCACCAGAACTCCCCTCACACCATCCATGACACAGAGGATTGGGTGGACCTTTGTGAGTGTTCTTCTGTTTCCCACATGTTTTGATAAAAGAAGTCTTCACTTTGTATTCAGGGACTTAGACTGCTTTCATTGGATGTCTTGCTTGCTTTTCTCTCTTTGCTGAGACAAAATATCTGACACCCAAAATTAGTAAAGATAAGATTTATTTAGCTCACAGTTTGTGGATGTGTCAGTCCATAATCAGTTGGTTCCAAGACAGAGTGGCACATGGCAATGGGGCAGCAATTCATGGTAGTGGGGGAAAAAAAGCAAAAAGAGAGAGCAGTAAGGCTCTTTTCCTCTCTCTCATATAGTAAGAAATCTACCACTCCCTCAGTTCTCACACCATCTCCATGCTCTCTTGCAAAGGATGAGGATATTTACAAAGTGAAGATTCTGACCCCTGCTTGCTTGCTTACTTAAACTTCTCAGTTTGACCCAATGTATCAACCATCATATGAGTTTTTAGCCAAATGGGTTGAGAATTTTGAGGAAAATATGTATCTATTATAAGGAAGCCTGATAAAACCAAGGTCTGAGTAAGGCTCTGCTAGCTGGCACGCAGACAGAATTTCTGAATAGTTAGATTATATATTGTCTAATAGTAACTAAATATCTAAATGTCTCTAAAACAACTGACAGTTATGAAAATAACTGACATAGTTTAAAAGCTAAGAGTATTTCAATATTTTTACGGATTTTTCACAATATAGAATATCAAATATTTCAGACATTTGACATGGCCTTCTGTTTTTTCTTGGTAAAATATTGATTGTTGTAGGGGTTTTTTTGTTGTTGTTGATGGTCTGTTATTTACTTTTCATAATGGTTAAAGTTAACCTGGAGAATCCATTTCTTATGACAAATTCTTGATACAACATTAATTTTTCAGAGCTGCTAAAGTACCAAAAATGAGGTGCAGTATCCCAAGAATATCTTCCAAGTCCAGACAGAATGAATTTAATTAATTTTTGTAGCTTGTTTTATTTCTGACTTACAACCTGGGGTTAGCATTATGAATTTAGCTCAGTTCACTACCATGCCAAAATTTTTCCCTTCACTGCTCTTAATCCATGCACTCTATGCTTATAGACTTACAACTTTTGAACAAAGTTAAAGATTATGCATTTATTATTATTGTTATAGCATGCTTGATCCTCTCATTTCCATTGCAGGTTTTGCACCCTTTCATCCTAAGAAGATTGACCATATGGATTGCTTCTACAGGGCTTTCTTCCTAGTACCCTCACTGTAATTTCAATAGCCCTTAATATTACTGTTAATTACTGATGATTCAACTTTACGATCCCATTATGAGTTTAGAATTTTGTTGATACTTTATTTTCTTTCAGCTCATCTCGGGAAGAATATTAACAGTGGGATTAGAATATGGTTTTAATTTATTAATACAAACAGTGATCAGAATGTGGAAGAGTTCAAAGACTTTAAAAAGGATCATGTTTTTGCATCGCTCAACTTGGAGTAAAAGGATCCCACCACCTATTTAACACTTTACATACAGAACAGGTCCTGAAGAAGGAAACCAGAGCACAATAATTGATAATGATATCATGGTGATCATTTTGTAAATAGCGTCATGATGTAATTTAGAGATATTAACCAGTGTGTTGTGGAGGATACTGGGTTTGAAATTGATCAATTACTCATGTTTATCAGAGTAGAAAGAAGTCCTACGATTTACATTCTGCAGTGCATTTGGTTTTACATGAAGGAACTTTCATTTTATATTTTAAAATTGCACCAATTTCCTCAGGTAGTGATATGTTATCTTAACCTTCCCTTTGATATGACATTGTCATATTGCTCTTAGTGGTTATTATTTTATAACCTCAATTTATAGCTATTATAAAGTCAGGAAACATGAAAAATAAGCACAGATCAAAATGTCTTTCTTTGTGGCGCACTGGCATCAGCCATCATTTAGACACCATAGCCCTTGGTAGCCCACAATGCACCAATTATAATCTTCTTCAACCTTAAATACAATAATACAAGTATTTTGGGTGCACTTTAATAGAAAATATTTGCAGCTAAGAAGTACTTTATGTGTGTTTCTACAATGTCCCTCAGAAATTTTATGAAATAGCTTTTCACTGATATAATGCCAAATTCATGCCATTATTTTAACCTTTTGTTGTATAAAATATTTATTTTTCCAATCCACTAAGTTTGTACTGTTTCTCCAATAGTGCTTTTTATTATGTCCTGTTTGAATGGTAACTTTTTAACATAGTTCTTCCAAAAAGCGTTTCTGGACATTCCAACTATCACTATTTTTTTCTCTATGCTGTTTTTCTTGCATCTATGTTATCATCATCTTTACAAACATTATCATATTACATATTTCACTTGTATTTATATTTGTATATTTTATTCTATTTTTTATGAATTGACTAAATTTCAAGAATTCAAAACTTACACTGAGTATTTCTTTTAAAACCTCTACATGCATACATATATTTAAGATATCATTTAAATATGTAACTTCAAATTCATTAAAATGATGCTAAAAGTAGAGTTTGTCACATTTAACCAGTACCATTAGCTAATTAAGTTAGTGTTACTCTCCTTAAACTCACTATATTTATTCCTTCAAAACCAGTTTTCCAGATACTAATATACATCATAAGAGAATGAAACATACCCAATGTTACAGGTACTCACCAAAACACAGAATTACCTGTTGTACATTTTAAATTGGTTACTTCCTTGCTGTTATTAATAAATTACATGCATCATATGCCTAGAAATTAAATTTTTCTTAAAAATTTTACCACTCCTTGGAAGATAGTGGGTGACTCTTGTCAAACAGAATTTAAGAAAAAAGGCAACTAATATTTTTCAAAAGATCAAACATTTTGGATGGAGTTTGAGATGCCTCTATGGATGATTCAGACATTGAAACTATATTTATGACCATGTTGTTTGTTTCATGTCTAAGTAGTTGACTTTGGGGAATGGGACCCTAGAGAAATGATATGTGTTGTCATAATCTAGGAACCAAAAAATTAGAGGAAATGATTCTTCTGTTACTTGAAATGGAATTTCTTCTAAGCCAGGAGTGTATCAATATTCCTGTCTTAAGGAAATGTTAAATAAAAAGACAAGTTGCATCTATACAGAGGTTATGCTTTTGAATCTTATGGAGGGAAAATACAACAACAGAACCACAGCTCTATGTAATCCTGTAACCTCAACATAACAGAATCAAAGATTGACAAAAAACAAATAATATTTTCTTTTCTCTCCTTTTTTATTATTGAGATTATTTGTCACGGATGTAGGCCAAGACTAAAGGGATAAAGGCAGCTGAAAGCCACATGGTGAAGTAATATTTGGACACAGATGAGGTCTTGTGCCCTCAGGATGTTGTCGGGGCCCAAGTACATTCTCTAACCTTCCCCAAGAACTACAAGCCAGGCTAAGTCAGCATGCTCTCTCTACACAGTGAGAGAAACATGACTTGCAGCCTCTGAACCATCCCAGTGGAGCTGACACAGTTGAGATGAGGGAAACAAATCACAACAGCTTCCCATAACTCTGCCACTGTAAATAAAAGAGCTTAGTGTTGGGGATTCCTGAGCATACTTGTGGTTAAGTGTATGTCTGAGTTTCAGTTTTTGTCTTTCTCTTCCAACCTTTTCTCCGTCCAGTCTATTTTCTAGAATCTGTATTTTATTTTTTTCTCTTTAAAATTTTTGTCATATGCTGTCATATAATACACTTACTTTGAACTATGTCTCTGAAACTGGCCTCAAATTTTAATATTTCTGCCTCAGCCTACTGAGAGTTGTAATTACAAGCGTGAGCCATCATACTCAGCATTATTTTTCATTTTCCAAATCAACGTTATGTTATCTTTGTTTGG